GATGAGCTCTCCGCGGTGGTCGAGGGGCTGGAACCGGAGGACGCGTGGACCCGCTGGCCTGGATGGGATACGGCCCCTCTTCCTGTGTGTGTGTGTCTGTGAGAGTGTGTGTCTGTGAGAGTGTGTGTGAATGTGAGTGTGTGAGAGTGTGTGTGTGTGTGAGTGAGTGTGAGAGTGTGTGTGTGTGAGTGTGAGAGTGAGAGAGTGAGAGTGTGTGTGTGAGGAGTGTGAGAGTGTGTGTGTGTGTGTGCGTGTGAGTGTATATATGTGAGAGTGAATGTATGTGAGTGTGAGTGAGTGTGAGAGTGTGTGTGTGAGTGTGAGAGTGAGAGTGAGAGTGTGTGTGTGAGGAGTGTGAGAGTGTGTGTGTGTGTGTGAGTGTGTGAGTGTGAGTGAGTGTGAGGGTGTGTGTGAATTTGAGACAGGGTGTGGGAGTGAGTGTGGGAGTGAGAGTGTGAGAGTGAGAGTGTGTGAGTGTGTGAGTGTGAGTGAGAGAGTGTGAGGGTGTGTGTGAATTTGAGACTGAGTGTGAGACTGAGTGTGAGAATGAGAGTGCGTGTGAGAGTGTGTGAGTGTGTGAGTGTGAGGGTGTGTGTGAATGTGAGTGTGTGAGTGTGTGTGTGAGTGAGGAGTGTGAGTGTATGAGTGTGTGAGTGTGTGTGAGTGTATATATGTGAGTGTGTGTGTGAGTGTGAGAGTGAGGGTGAGTGTGTGTGTGAATTTGAGACTGAATGAGAGTGTGAGAGTGAGAGTGTGTGTGTGTGTGTGAGTGTGTGAGTGTGAGAGTGTGTGAGTGTATATGTGTGAGTGTGAGTGTGTGAGTGTGAGAGTGTGAGTGTTTGTGAGTGTGTGTGTGTGAGTGTGAGTGTGTGAGGGTGAGTGTGTGTGTAAATTTGAGACTCAGTGTGAGAGTGAGTGAGAGCGTGTGAGTGTGAGTGTGTGTGTGTGTGAGTGTGTGTGTGCACGCACGCGGGTCAGAAGGCCACGAAGATGAGGCAGATACAATTACGTCTGCGGGTAAAGGAGCAGGAGGTTGATGGAACTCACTCGGGCGAGCTTTTGTTTTCTCTGCAAAATCAGAAGCCATGGAACCTCCTTGGAGCAGAGGGCGTGAGCTTCCGGTGCAGAGTCTGCAGTGGGAAGAAAAGGGTGCCGCTGTGGGCATGAAGAGACCACGAGCAGGCACGTGGACAGGACCGGCCAGAAAAACTGAGGATCTCTGTGACAGATGTCACGGTCAACCACGCACCAACCCGCAGTTGTGTGCGACTTCCCCCTGACCACACTCAGCAGCTCAGGAGTACAAGTAAGTGTCTAACTGGATTGACCCAACCCTACGTGTGTAACTGCGTGTGTGTGTGTGTGCGCGCGCACACACGTCTGAGGTGAGGTCCAGGTTAAGGGAGTGGTTGCGATCGTGCAGAGCTAGGTTTGGGCTGAAGTGGCCAAGAGATGACAACAGGCAAGGCTGACAGGATGCCCCTCCACTCAATGTGGACTTTGCAAAAGGCCGCCAAGCTTTGCGACTGTGGGTTCGCCTGCAGGGGGCGCTCTGCCAATGGTGTCTCAGCAGGTACTACTGGAATAGGAACCTCCAGCCTGGCTCCCGTCTTTAACACCATCTCTGCAGACGGACGGACGCCGGCTCTGCAGACGCGGCCCAGAGTGGGATGCGAGATGAGCCAAGGTCATGGATTTTGACTCGGGCGCCGCTGGCCCTGCCTGCAAAGGGAGCGACCAGGGCAGTCTCTGATGAGCAATCGTAGTGTTGCTTTTCACTGTGAGAGGCAGGCAGCATGGTGCGCGCGGTCAGATCTAACTGAACAGATGCCGCAACTTATTTAGTCATGCTGTGGGGAGAATCCGCCTGACCACTGGACCCCCAGCTCCTTACCTTTAATTAGGAAAAGCAATACCTGCTTCAGGACTGTCGTGAAGGTTAACGACCACCCTGAATGAAGGACAGTTTCCTTTCCTCCGACCTTTTTCTTTTTTGGGTAATTATTAAGACCCAGAAGCCACGGTGATCATTCCTGGTGATCTGACTGATGGGTTGGCAAGAGCAGGTCCCTTTTAGGCTAAAGCATGGGACAATGGGGGTGGGCTCTCAGTCCCCTCTCTTGCCATGGTGAGAATGTCCTGGGGTGTCACACCAGCCTGAGACCCTTCGAGGAGAACACACTCATTAAAAAGACTTGCTCTGGCTTCGAGGCTGAAGAATTCTCCAAGTTCAAATTCACGTTATTTAATATATTGGGGTCTTTTTCCTGCTCAGTTGAATAGAGGCACTAACTCTTCCCTCGCTCCCACGCATGTTTTATCTTTGGATGTGCCTTACAGAGAAAGACTATATCAATGTCAAATGACAGATCACGCTGGGACGACGGCCCAAACTCAGATCTTCCGTGACACAGGGTGGGTCCTTCCGCTCGAATTTCCAAAAACGTGGCTTAAGGCAGTCCTTTTCCACGGTCTCCTTTATCCGGTAATTTTATTCTCCTTTTCCACAGAGACCAAACTGTCCCCGTGATAAATAGATATAACACACAGGTGTTTAGGCAGGACAGCTCTGAGGGCCTGCAGCATCGGGCCGCGTCCAGGTACGCGCGAGCGACGGACGCTGGGCTGGCCGCTCTCGGAGAGAGGTCAGCACCTGCGCACGGGGACAGCGCCCAGCTGGACAGGGGGCGCCCCTATGCGGACTCCAGCACATTCTAGGCCTGCACTGCTCCCCTGGAGAAAATGGCCTTGGGCATCCCTAGAAAGGCATCGCGTTCTAAGTTGGGAATTCTTCTCATGCTGAAAACCAAGGTAAAAATGCAGAATTCTCCTCGGTGGGAGAATCTGTCCCTGCTCCCGGAAAAAACAAACTATTGGTGTTTTGCTCCTGTGCTGCTCAGCTAGCTGGACAGTGGGACTCAGGGTCATGGGGGTTCTAGAAGCCAGGGTCCTCTGTGGCCAGCGCCCAGGTGACACCCACCCTGGGAGGCGGTTGCAATAGTTCAAGTGACAGAGGATGAGGTGAGGGCAGGGAGCAATTCTGGAAGCAGCAGCTAAGAACTAACGCACATAAGAATCTGAGGAAGAAGAGACACTTCAAGACTGAAAGCCCAGATGGCGGAGGAGAGCATAACGCCACAGATCGGAGGGGACCACAGAAGGTTGGGAGGGAAGATGATGGATGTGGCTTTGGACCTGCTGAGTTTGAAGGACTCAGGAAACTGGAAATAGGAGCCCGAGTCTCTCCGGAAAGACCCGCTTTTGCGACAGGGCGAGGGAGGGAGGAGCTCTGCCTGTGGCCGATCTCTGCCAGGCGGCGTTCCCTAAATGCATATTTGGAGACCTTTCCCCAAGGAGCGTCCTGTGCGGCCCCTCCTGCGGTCGATGAGAAAAGAAGAAGGCCGACAGCAGAAGCGTCGCTGGGTCTTTGGTCACCCCGTTCCCGGTCCCTTCTGCAGCTCCCTCTGTGTGAGTGCTTTCACAGACAGAAGTCGGCTTGGAATGATCTGGAGCCGTCTACATATTCTCAGTGACAAACACTTCAACTGGCAATCTCATGGCGCCCCAAGCTTTCCTCCGAGGCCCGGCTCCCCCAACCCACAAGCAACTCGGCTCATCACAGGCGCCTGGAAAAGGGACGTGACATGCAATCGGCCCTGTATTTGCTCTTCTTGGTTAATGTTGTTGAAAAGCCCCAGGAAGAAGGGATCAGCCTAACGCACAGCAAGTGTGCTCGGCCACCTTCCACGACAGGTTACTCTTTGCTCCACAGGGTTACTTTGCCACTGATCTGAGAAAATGCAGACACCATTAAAGAGAACACAACATTGACATCACGCCCATCAGTAATGAAAATGGCTACGATGAGCTCTGACATGTTCGCAGCTGTTAAACAAATCACAAAGTTGTTAAATGCAAGTTTAAGTTCACTCTGCCAGCTGTGGTAAAGATGCGTACGCCTGGCTGTTAAATGGGGCCCTTGACTCTGATCTTAGGCCCTTCTAACGCCTCCTGCGGCATCAGGATGGCTACGTCTAAAACTGCCTTCCTGGCCGTGCTCTTCAGGAAGAATTGAATTGTAAATCACGTGTGTCCTGCCCTTGAACTTCGGTTCAGATCTTTTAAAAGAGCTGGGTCTATGCACTGGGTGTAACGGTAGCATCCATTGGAAGACTGAGGCCTTTGAGCTAAACGCCTCTGCAACTGTGTTGTGATGAAGGTTCTGGACAGAAACGACCTGGTGGCCCCACTGACTGGAAGCTCAGATCCTGGCTTTGCTACAACTTGTACTTTGCCCCCGAACCCAAGACACGAACCTCTCTGGCTTCACACAAACTTCTGCAAACCAACATGGTAAGTCCAGTCAACTTCCTTAGATTGTTGCAAACATTAACTACTAGAAGCAAATCCCGTTCTTTTCAGTCACAAAATAAAACTTCCTATAATAGATTAAGGAACAGAAAATGCCCATTGTCTCTGATATTTTATTATGCCACATCTTCCCTCCCTGGGAAATACACGGATCTGTGGTTTACTGCTGGGGTTTGACTATTTTTATTTGGGATGAAATAGGCAAGTTTCGAGAGGCCAAGTGGCACTTGCGACAGACGGAAAGAATACACCAACTATTGGTATGTAGCCTCAAACGGCCATCAAAACAGAACCCAAGTGTTTCTATTATTGTAAGAAATTCACTTTAGTCTGAGATATATGCTACTCCCCGCCCCTTCCCCCCGAGAAAAAGTAAAATTAAGGGCTCTGATCTTCATTCCGCACAAGCATCCTTCGTAAGAGCACAGACATGTGAGTCCGTGTCCACACGTTGACACGTCTTATACACTCACACCCCACGTTTGCAGCTGCTACACCACGTAGCTAGGCACCTCGCAGTAAACCAAGGCAAACTTGAGTCCCCTTTCATTTAATTACTCTGCCCTCCCAGACACTTCTGAAAAAAAAAACAAAAAAAAGGCAAAAGCGGGGACACCGCACGTACGTACCTGACACAGAAGTATAAAACCACTGGTCCTGACTTTTTGGGGAAGTCGTGTTCCAATACTCTTCGATCTAGTTGAAGCCAGTTTAAGTGTCCCCTGCAGAAAATAGAGACAAACTGGTTATGGCTTTGGAATTTGCAGATTTTCTTGTGACGAAGGTGTAATATATATATATATGGGCCGGATCGCAGACAGACGTGGACCTTTCCCTCACCATTAAGCTTTCGACATTTGAAGAACTCAAGAGGGATGATCTGGGGAACGATGCTGTGTGACACGAGGGAGGAGAGTGACACTCAGAGTCAGGGGTTGGAGGCCCTCGGCCCTTTTCCTAGACTGCACTGAAAATGTAATCATTCTCCCTCTCTCTCCCTCCCTCTCCCTCGTCCTAAAACGCCACCCCACCACACTCTCACCTGCCTGTCTCCTGAAGGACTCACAACACACTTTAGAAACATGTTAGCAATCTTCCCAACATCTTTCTGGAAGCAGATGGGTTGAAAAACCAATCATAGTTTCTTAAAAAAATTAAACTTACATCTACCATACGACCCAGCCATGCTTCTCCTAGGTATTTACCCAAGAGAAATGGAAGCATATGGCCATGCAAAGGTTTTTACACACAGATGTTCAGAGACTTTATTTTTCATGGCTTGAAACTTGGAACAACGCAAATGTTTATCAGCAAGGGGAATGTATAAACAAATTGTGATATAATTATATAATGGAATACTATGCAGCAATAAAGACAATGAACTACTGATATACACAGCAATGTACATGAGTCTCAAAGTAATGATGTCGAAATAAGTCAGACAAAAAAGAGTACAGATTGTATGATTCCATTAATATAAAACTCTGGAAAGTACAAACTAATCTATAGTCACAGAAAACAGATCAGTAGTTGCCTGGGGTGGGGGTGAAAGGGAGGGGTTCAGGGGTGGGCAGAGAAAACTTTAGGAGAATGATGAGTATGTTCATTATCTTGTTGGTGGTGATCGTTTCATGGGTGCGGACATGTCAAAACTTATCCAGTTGTACACTTTAATATGTGTAGTTTATTGTATATCAGCTACACCTCATTAAAGCTATTTTAAACAGTGAACCACAGAGATACTTGATGATATACAAATGGAGTGACTTGTGCATTTCTTCCTTCCCTCCCTCCCTCCATCTCTCCTTTCCTTTCATACATGTCAGCTGAACACCTCTGAAAAAGAGTGTGGAGATGCAGCAGGCAGCAAAACAGACACGGTCCCTTTCCTCCTCAAGCGTGTATGCTTGTAAGGAGACACTCGACCACTATGTCTACAGTTAATTACATAAATACGAATAGTATTAGGGCTGTGAGTTACGAGAACATGTAAGGACCTGATCTTGACTGGGGGTCCGAGAAGCTGTTTTGAGTGAGATCTGAAGAATTACAGGAGTTACCTCAGCAAAGAGGAAGGGGGATTTTCTAAGCAGAAGGGCCAGCACGTGCAAAGGCCCTGAAGTGGAGAGAAACCTAGCACCTTAGTGTCACATGACTAGAAAGGGATGAGGCAACAGAGGGGCAGGGATGTCCCATGCTGTGTGACACTGAGGTTTACAATGCACGGACACATGTGGAAGGCTGGCACTTATTCTGCAGAGAATGAGAAGCAAGAGCTGTCTGCCTCATTCTATTACAATCTTTGCTTCTCCAAGCACATGCTTGCCTCTGAAAAAATGAAAGAAAACATGCTAGAGGCTTCCATCTTCATTCTAAGACTTCATTCAAACTGTACCTTTTGCACAAGAAAAAGAAAAAAGATTCTCTCTTTCAATTAAGCCCACACCTGTGGCCTAGGGATGATTTGGATTGGCTTCTTTTTCCTCCAAGAATCTCCATCTGGAAATAAATTTTTTTTTCTCTAAACTTTATTTTTCACCTTTGGGTTACTCTTCTCTGAATATAGTAAGGGTAAGAAATAACAGAAAAAAATGTTTTCTAAGTAAAATGACTGGACTAACTTATTCCATAAAGGTGGGATAAGTCCCCGTCCAGCTAGAAACGGATTCTGAGAGAAGGCCTGGGTGCCAACTTTGTCTGTGGTCATACTGGAAACACTGACCTCTGTGCCCAAGCTTATGTCGTTCCTCCTGCCTAGAATGCCCTTCCTCATCTTCATCACCCAGCAGAGTCGACCATCCTTCCAGGCCCAGATCTCCCGTGCCTCCTGTGGAAAAGCCTTCCCAATGCACACCCCCCCACGCCACACCCAGCCTCGGAACGGACCCTCACGGGACCCGTCCGGGGCATACCTCTGCTGCTGCATCTCCTGCCTCCCACGGAACTTACTCTGTTTACAAATTCTTTTTCCCCATTCTTTTTCAGACTTTTTACATATGAAAAATACAGAGAGGTCTACATCATGAAGTAAATGTGTATGTGTGTGTATATGTGTGTCTGATCAGCTAGAAGGTGTTCAGACAAATGTGAGACCTAATTATCAGGGAATAAGAAGATCTAGCCACTCTCTTTCTGCTCCGAACATGTCCCAAATCTCCCAGGATCTTCTCCGTATGCTCAGCCTCCCGCACACATGCCACATGGATGCTCTGTATGGCGACTTTGATCACACCGGTGCTAAGTGGAACAGGCTCTCCGTCCTCTTTATGTGAACGCTAGCCATCGTTGAGGGCTGAGTTCAGTGAAGTCTCCCTTGATTGCCTAAGGCTGGGCTTCCTTTCAAGCTTCTCCAGAGCTCCTGGTTTGTGTCATCGGCAAGGCATTTGTGGTGCGGTCGTGCACGATGAGTTATCTGACAAAAATATGACCTGTCTCTCCGACTAATTTGTAAGTTTTCAACATTTACGAAAATCATCCCGGAACTTAGTACAATGCCTGGCAAATATTAGGTGCTCAAAAGCTGGTAATCACTGATTGGATGGCTGCCTCCAAAAGCAATTGATCTGTGCCGGATCTTAATTCATAAAGGCGACTGAGTGACCACAGGGAGAAGTCAATGCCGCGGAAAGAAAAGCTTCACGTTCTTCACGGTTCCCCTAGAAATGAGCGGCACGCCATGCCAGGTGGGGCCACAGGGGGGGCGCCCGTGCTGAGCTGATCATGAGGCAGAAAAGAAATGAGGAGGCAGAGGCCAGAGCCTTTATTGGGGTTTCCGTGGGAAAGGCAAGACAGGGCAGGGGAGACAGCTTAGGACTGGCTAGTCTGAATAATTCTGCCAAGCTTAGGGGCATAGGGGCTGACCCTAGCTGCCCAGTACGTGGCCCTGGGTTGACTTCGGGCAGGGCTGAATTGGCTTGGTGAATGAGGATTAGATAAAGGGAGTGGTTCAGATTCGGAGTATGGGCTCTGGACAGCAGCGGAGATGTAAACAACTCTAGCTGTTAGTTTGGCACTGTAATTAGTGGATGCCAAATAAATACAGAATCTAAGAAAACTCAGAACAGCAACCCATCTAATGACCACGTAGACTGAAATTGTAATCTTTTTACTTATAACAGTTCTTGATAAACGGTCTGGCGGGAACCACCGTTTCATAATCCTCACAGGATAAACCCTCACTCCACCCCCAATGGCACATTACTGACCGTGCAGACTGCTGGGAATTCGGCTTGGTCTCTGAGGGGCATGATTCACTTGATGAGGAACCTTGAAGTGGGGACATTTTGCCTTAAGAGACACTGGCATAGGTGTCACTTGGCCACCACTCCGTTGGGGTTGCTCACGGCCCCTTCTTTTTTATCTATGTTAACAGAGGACAAATACAGGGTGGATTCCCTCTGTAGATAATTTTATTCCCCAGAATAGGTTTTTCTTTTTAAAGAATGGCATGTTAGCGATGAATTTATTTAACTGGAAATCCCTTTGTTCCCAGCCATATATTGGTTTAGCATTTCTCGGGCAATGAAACGATAGGAAAGTAAGAAAATGGTCGGGAAGCAGACAGAACAATGAGGCCAGAATCTCCCCTGAATAGACTAGTCTCCGAGGAAAAATGAATTTCCTTCCTCTCCTTCCCCCACGTGCGCTCCCCCAGCCCAGGTCATGAGGGCTGGCACAGAGAGGTGGGCTTCCCCACACCTGGAGTCCTGGGACCTCAGGGCGAAGGAAGGCGGCTGCATTTTATGTGCCTGTAAAAATCTTTCCACTGAAGGCTGCTTGCAAAGGAAAGGCTGAAGCGGCAAGTGACTTATCCAAGGTCCCTCAGGGTAACTGCCCAGCGTCCGGGCAAATGCCAAGAGATGGATTAACCAGTAAACTGGAAAGCCTCGCTCTGAAGCCACCACTTCCGGCTGCAGTAGGACCTGTGAAAATATTTTCTGCTCATTGGATTGGGTTCAAAGTCGCATTTCCTGCACCAGGCAGTGTCAAAGGGTCCCAGAACTTTATTTTCCTACGTGACACCTCACGGTCCTGACATTAAGTTCCTTCCTCAAATCTTTTTTTTTTTTTTTTTTTAAATTTAAGTCAGGGTGGACTGGAGAACTAAGAGACGAAGCATTTTCTCAGTACAGTTTAACGAAGAGAGGACCAGTAGCATGGTTTTCATTATTCTCATCGATTTTTCATTTGAGAATGCACATCAATGCATTTGCTAATAACAAAGCAAAACATAAAAAGTGCCCCAACAGACACTCGGTATTTTTTATTGCTTGACTGATAAGTATCTTCAAAATTGAGCAAGATAACACTCGTTTGGTTTATGGTGGCAACAGGTCAAACCATTGGGTCAGTAATAAATATGCAATTGCTTCCGGGCAATAGAAATTGGATGCACTTATTTAACAGATTGCTTTTAGCTTCTGCATATAATACAAATAGATTTCTGGTCCAAGGGTTGGCACCTTCGGTGAGATGGCGGTCAGGAGAGCTTGGTTTACAGAGAGTCACTGGAGGGTGGAGGTGTGTGATAAGCCTATCTGCACTGATCATTCTCGGACCCCAGGGGAGAATGATACGCTGTGCCTTTTAGAGGTTTTCACTGTAGATAGCTGATTTCACAGGAAATGAATTGCTACAGAAATCCGAAGGAAGAGGATGAAATTCTTGCAGGTGTCCATGGATGGAGGTCTTCTAATGGAACAATGTTTAGCTTTTAGTACCT